TGTGGAAAATGGTGCCAATATTCAGTGCCATTGTCCTATACTCATAGTTTCATGTAACCAAGCAATTCCCTTCTCATTTCCAACACGCCTGGCGGGCCATACTCACTATGGCTGATACTGTGAGTGGTGCCATACACAAGCACTCTGATGCAGATGTGTCAATAAGCATGTCTTGGTTAAAACTTTAAAGGGAGCAAGGGAAGGGGGAGTTCAGAATCTTAAGTTTCACTTTCCATTGTGACTATACTGATGATAGTATATCTGTGTGTTTTTATTTGACGCTGCTACTGTTGCAGCCTTGGGGGGTTCCCCCTCCATACAGGAGTGCCAGAAGCTTCCTACAAATGGGGGGGCCATCAGCACCAGAACTGTGTCCCACCCCCCCACTTACTCCTCTCTGCCTTCTTCTCCCATTGCTTGCCCATAAGGCAGGAAAAAAATGCCCTCCCACTTTTATAAGTGATGGGGCCATGGCCCCCCTGTTCAGATGCCCCTTAGCTGAGTTGCTCCAGCATCAGCACGTACAGCTGTGGGACTCCTCCTGGTGTGTGTGCTGATCCCAGAACAACTCAGCTAAGCGGTGCCTGAATTGGGGGGGGGGCATAGAAAAGTAGACCTTTCTGTGGCAAGGTGGTCTGGTGCCAAAATAGGGATATTAAAATTGTATATGCCGGGGCCAAAATCAGACCCTTTAGGGACTCCAAGTAATTCAGCCTCTATGGCTATTAATCCTAGGAACTTCTACCAAGTTTGTAAATCATTACAACTGGTACCCTAGGTGCTTTTGTCTGATGATGTGAATATTCATCCACCAGGACCTAGAATGAGATCACCCGAACATTTTATAGAGGACCCAAGCAGGCGATAACTAATGTTGATCATTAAATCAAAGCTGGATTTGACTTGGTGACCTAGAAGTGAGTAATAGCTGTGAAATATGATGGACTAGGTAGTAGCACCATTTTCATCTCAAATTTCTGATTCTCTGAAGGAGTAGGATTGTACATCTCAAATACTAAGGTATTCTCCCTGGCTCATAATACAAGAGTAGAAGGACATTTAATTATATGAAAAGGTGGTAAATTCAAAACTAATAAAAGGACTTTTTTCATAGCTGTGGTTTAAGTGTGAAACTTATTGCTTTAGGAAGTCACTGAGACCACAAATTTAACCAGATTCAAAAAGGGATTGTACATTATTTATAGTAACTCTGGGTATTTTTAATAGCCGTATAAATCACTATGAAAAAATTGGAAGGGATATTAAACCTCATGCTTCAGGGTTTAAACCAGTCTCTATTGGAGACCCGAATGAGACCTGTGTTAGGGGCAGATCATCCCACATCTTCCTACTGCAAGGGTCTTACACTTTCCTCTGAAGCATCTGGTACTGGCTGCTGTCAGAGACAGGATAGTGGACTAGATGGAGTTTGGATCTGATCCAGTCTGGTAATTCCAATGTTAATGCATCTTGCACATCCTGGGTACACATTTCTTCAGTGACTTTGCTGGAACATGTTTACCCTTTAATTATGTGGGGGGTGGAGAGGGTGGGGTTTCAAATGTTCACCCAGCATTTAACATGTAGGTGATCTTCATGCCTCATCTGCATTACTCTGAGGACTGTGATTTAACAGTATTCATAATCAGCATGTAAGAATCCTGTTAATCTCCAAATCAAATAGTAGATAGCAGTAATTGACATCTTTCTGCCATTCAGTGCATAGCACACTAACATTGTTTCCTCCTGCTTAATATGTGAAAGTCCTGAAAGTGGCTATTAGATGCATCTGAACTCAGAAATAATACAACAGTAGAGGCTATGGGAGCAACGACGACATTTTGCCACATAGTATGCAGCCAGAAGGGGTCCTATGTTTCAAAGGGTTTGTGCTAGGAACTTTAATTGCAACAAAACACCAATTACTGAGTACAGTAATTTCAATATTAAAATTGGAAGTGGGGGGAATCTAAACAATGTTTCCCACTGGTCAATAGGGCAATAAAAATAAAAGTAAATTAAGTTATCTCCAATTTCATGGATGGATTGACACCTCTATTTTAGATTTTAAAATATCATGTAAAATTATCTGAACATATAAAAAATATGGTCAGTCACAGTTCTGTGATTCTTGCCTTCACTCTGGATTATGAACATACTCTTAAAATGTTTTTGTACACAGATAATTATATAAAAGTACCTGAAAATTGTAATTATACAGTGGCCAAATTGAGTAATCCCTTAAACAATCCCTATAAATGGCTTCAGTCTCATTTTAAAAGTAGGATTAAATGTCCTTGGAAGGATACCTGAAGAATATTTTATAAATGGTTCCACGCCCCCAGTGGAATCCTGAAATGCAACGTTTCTCTCTGACTCCTTATCTGCGGGTAGGTACTGGGCCTGTAATGAGGTGTTTTGAGTAGGTAGCTGACATGGATTATTATTATATTTTTTTTTAAATATCACATTTAGATATGAGTTGAGAGTGCGACAACTACTTGGATTTTGCTTATTGCTTGACATTTATATTCCTGTAGCCCCTGTGATTGTTGAGCCATGTTAATACTAAGTCATTTTTTCTTTGGTTTAAAGTATTTAAGATGCTCAATAGCTTTCAGGCGTGCGTGCTTTTATACATTAAAATATGGTGTAACTTGCAAAAATGTTTTAAAAAATAGGTTTAACTGTAGATTTACCAACCTTGGCAATATCTCTTTAAGGTAATTCCTGTATTCATGAAGTTTTTCCATTTCAACAGTTAAATTTGATACATTTCTGATTATTGCTAGTGTAACCCACTGGTCAGTAAAAAGAGGAGTATTTGTGGCACCTTAGAGACTAACAAATTTATTTGGGCATAAGCTTTTGTGTGCTAAAGCCCACTTCATCAGATGCATGCAGTGGAAAATACAGTACACACACACACCCACCATGAAAAAATGAGTGTTGCCATACCAACTCTAACAAGACTAATAAATTAAGGTGGGATATTATCAGCAGGAGAAAAAAACTTTTGTAGTGATAATCAGGATGGCCCATTTCAAACAGTTGACAAGAAGGTGTGAGTAACAGTAGGGGAAAAAATAGCATGGGGAAATAGTTTTTACTTTGTGTAATAACCCATCCACTCCCAGTCTTTATTCAAGCCTAATTTAATGGTGTCCAGTTTGCAAATTAATTCCAGTTCTGCAGTTTCACGTTGGAGTCTGCTTTTGAAGATTTTTGTTGTTGAAGAATTGCAACTTTTAGGTGTGTAATTGAGTGACCAGGGAGGTTGAAGTGTTCTCCGACGGGTTTTTGAATGTTATAATTCTTGACGTCTGATTTGTGTCCATTTATTCTTTCGCGCAGAGACTGTCTGGTTTGGCCAATGTACATGGCAGAGGGGCATTGCTGGCACTGGTCAGTGTGTGTTACGAGATGCCATCTGTGCGCGTGTGTAACAGAAGATATGTTACAGCCCTCATCTACAGCACCTAGCTCAAGTTGCCAAGACTCCTGCTTTCAGCTCTGGAGATCCCTGGACCAATCTCTAGGTTGGTGAAGATGGCAGCCATCACACCAGCAGTATGGTGGGTAGAGTTAATGACATAGCTCAGATCATATTGTTAATGGATGTGTTACATATATATCGGCTGTGGAGCCCATTTCAGGCTTAGAGAGAGCCATATGAGCAAACCTCTGTTTGCAGTTTCAGTAGGGGACAGTATGGTGCAGAGTTCATTGTCTAAGTGGAGCCTTAGTTATTAACACCTAAAAAATATTAAAATTGACTTTCATTGTCCATGCTGAGATGGCTGACAAGTTTTTTTTTTTAAAGCATAAATATGGTACAAAGTAAAATGGAGACTTAAAAATTGTCAATTTTTAAAAAAATAATTAAAAAATCTTGTCAGGCTTGAGAGTAGAAAAATCTGAACAGCATAGTTTCACTTAGGTTCATAGCCAATTTATTTCTACTATTGTAAACCATTAAATGTCTGGGTTACAAATAGACAAGATGGGTGAGGTAATACTGCAGCCAAAGTTTTGTTTTAAAGTAACTGTCTATACTGGCATTAAAACAAACCTATAAAACACTTCTACCTTTTCTAAAAGCATGATTTTACCAAGGCCAAATTTGAGTTGCCCCTTAACTTGTATGGGTTTACAATCAGATTTTCCTGTTTTAAAAAGTGTCTCTCTTTCACAAAAGTTGAGGGAGAAACAAGTGCACGGTGAAACTGGCCCCAAGGTGCCCTCACGTGCATATTGTAAAACACAGTACATTTCCCCCCCTTCACTCACTCATAGTAACCTTGTAACAATAGAAACCAAACATCACTTTTGCCTTTTTTTTTTCTCTCTCTTTTTTTAAAGCTATAGGTGTCCCTGTAGCAGGACCCATCTGTGTTCAAACACAACAGGGGCTAGGGCAGTTTCCGCTCCAGTGTGGACATGAGTTGGCTGCAACCGAGATCTGTGTGATGAAAGATACCAGTGTTCAATCCTATTTATGGTGGGGGGGGGGGGCTGCTCCGTGGCTCTTTCCTCCACAGGCTGTGAACACCCTTTAAAAGTGATGGGGAGCCAACTCTGAATAACGGTGCTGGCTGCAGCAGCAGGGAGGCTGGGCTTGTGCGGGGCCTTGTTTCCCTCGCGGCAGCGCCTTGCTGCCCCGCCAGCAGAAGCACAGTGCTAGTCGCTGGGGGAAGGGGAGGCCTGGCCCACGGCGGTTGCTAGCCTTGCCCACGTGGGTGGCCCTGTTGCGGAGCAGTTGCAGCCGTGCAGGGCTGGGCCTGCGCGAGACAGGTGTCCGGCCGGGCCCCCGCTCCCGCTCCGCGTTGGTCTCCTTTCGCCACACACCAGCGCGCGTTCACCCCCCCACCCCGAACGCACGCGGGTGCTGCGCTGCATCCTGGGAATTGTAGTCCCGCCCCTCCAAGCGCGCGAGCTCCCGTCGCGGTCGGCCGCCTCCAGCTCCCGCGATGCTTTGCGCGCGGCAAACCCCGGCTGTTCCTGGCGCCGGAAGAGAAGCGGGTCTCTTTGGGGCCGGCCATCTTGTGTGGTATCGCGAGCAGGGGGCTGGGGCCTGGGCAGCATCGGAGGAGGATCCCGCCGAGAGGGGCCCATCATGCCCGGACACCTGCAAGAAGGGTTCGGCTGCGTCGTCACCAACCGCTTTGACCAGCTCTTTGACGACGAGTCGGACCCCTTCGAGGTGCTGCGGGCGGCCGAGAGCCGGAGGAAGGAGAGCGGCGGCGGCGGCGGGAGCCAAGGGGGCGGCGGCGGCGGGGCCCGCAGCGGGCAGGCGGCCCAGGCCAACTCCTCTGGCGGGGTCGGCAGCGGGGGCTCGGGCCAGGCTGGGGGAGGCGGCGGCAGCAGCAGCGCGGCCAAGCAGCTGCGCAGGGAGTCACAGAAAGAGCGCAAGAACCCGCTGCCCCCCTTCGCTGCCTCGCCCGGGGGCGCCGGCGACCGCAGGGAGGAGGGCAGCGGGCAGCCCGCCGCGCCGCTTAGGAAGGAAGGTGAGCGGGGACGACGGGCGGGGGAGGCGGCCCATGCGGCCCGCGCCCAAATACGCCAGGGCGGCGGGACCGGAGCGGGGGGAGTTTCAGACGCGAGACATGCGGTAGCTCTTCCGGCCATGGTGTGGGGCGGGAGGCTGTACCCCCCGATGCAGGGTTGAGAGTCTTTAAGCCCCCTTGGGCCTGCAGCTGTGCCGTTAGAAGCGGCGCATCCCCCTCCCGGCCTAGTGAGGGAGAGCTGCCGCCCCTGGGTGACAGCCCGTCACACGCGGCCGGCGGCCTGGCAGCACAGGCTGAACATTGGAGTCTCTAAAGCCCCAGGTGGGCCAGCCCCTGCTCGATCCCCACAGAGACACCACCTGCTCCTGGGGGTGGCGGGGTGGGGTAGTTGCAGGCCGTGACCGCTGCTTCTCTACCCACGTGGGGGGAAGTGAGGCCTGTCGCACATGCTTGTTGGGAAGGAGGGGGCTGCATCTAAGTGGGGGTGGGGAGGTGGACCGAAGGCGCTCTAACCAGGTTAGTTGCTGGGGATGGATGGAGGAGGCTTGTGGTGACCCAACTATGCAGGGTTAGGAAAGAGGATTGAGTAGGACCTGCTGGTGCTTGTATGTTACCCAGTACTTGTGGCCCCGGAGCATTGCACCGACAGCCTGGATGACCCTGTTGACGAGGCTGGATGACCCTGTTGACGATACGGGTCTGGGTGGGATGGCAGCCGCGTGTCGGGGAGGCCCGGCACGCTTAAAGTGTTGGGACGGAAAATTATCAGCCGAGTCTGTTTTTCCAAAGGGAGTTGCATCACTTTTCAAAGCACGGTAGCCGCGTGTTAGTGTTAGTGAAGCTGAGCTAATTATACCTGAGCCACGTGCGTTTTCAGTATGTTGTCGATCCCCTTTCCCATAACGCAGTAGCCGAAGCTATCTGCCGCCGCCTTCCACCGGCTGGGAAGCTCAAAATGGAGCCTTTTAATTTGTGGTGCATCTGATGTCTTTATTTTTGTATGTTTGGACCCAGTTGTGGTAAAATTTTCATTGTTGAAGTGGGGTACTCACCGAACTGGCAAGAGAGGCATGAGTAAGGAAACATTTGGGAATATGATTTAGAGACTGATTAATAATCGTCTGTTAAGCCTAAATTGCATCTCTAAGGACATGTCCCATTTAATAGTAAATGTAACACTCTTTTTCTGGGTTCTTTTCAGTATTAGTTCATAGCCTTTCAGATTCATTCTGAAATACTGTTTTGGTTTTTTTAAGAATAATTTGAATTTGGATTGAGATAAATAAATGTAACTTCAATAGTATGAGTGTATGATAAACATTTTTATGGACTGTAATAAAGTTTAATTTTTCTTAGGAACAAGTGAAGGAATACGAAAATATAGTGACATTAAAATTAATGTCTTTGATTTACTTTTTTATGGGTTGATCCTGCAAATAAATGCTTAATTTTAAGCATGTGTATAGTTCATTGGCAGATAATATGGCACATTTCATCATTAGATCTCAAAGCACTTTAGGAAGGAAATCAGTATCATTATCCCTGTTTTACAGATGTCAAAACTGAGGCATAGGGAGGGAAGATACTTGCCAGGACAGTGATTGAGAGCTATTTATGTACATAAACTTCAGCACATGCATGATTGAAAGATTGTGGCCTAAATTTGTAATTCTCATCATATAATTTTTGAGTGCATTGAAAGTGTTTGGTAATATTTGGATAAAGAACTATTTGGCAAACTAATAAGTTAATTACGACTTAACCAAAACTAAATGAGCTCTTAAAAATCTTACTACCTACAGAAGAGTAGAAATAATTACAGTACTAAAGATTAACTCATTGCATTTCTTTTTAAGAAAAAGTATATTGCAGTATTGTCTCCGGGTGCTTTTTTTGAACTTTTGGTAAGTGCGAGAATAGCTTTACCAAAATATGTCACTTTAACCAAGGAAATACTAAGTAATTCTGAGCAGTGGAATAACAGGTTTAGAAAATACCAACTGACAGTTACTAACCTGGTAGCTTTTTTTGGAAGACCAGCTATCATAAATTTGCTCTGTCTTCCCTTATGAAATAGATTTTTAAATGTGGTTAATACTCCTGATTAAAGCTACAGAACAGTAAGATTTTGACCCTTAAGACAACTATCATATTAAAAGGGCCTGACTTACTTTTGTTTCTTCCTGACCAACAGGGGCAAGTCCATTCACTGGAATAATAAAGGTAGAGGGAGTTTTAAACTTGGCATGTTGTATTAAGGAAAAATTCACTCATGATTGTAAGCATGCCTGATTTTCTATAGAACACAAATGTTTTATTTCACTTTTAATGGTATTCTTAATTTTATATGCTAGGATAAATTTGTATATTGGTACATGTGTAAATACAAATGCCAGTCATAAATAGGCATAACATTGTCAAAACTGCCTCTCCAATATATTAGTCTCAAAATATAAGAGCTGAAGAACTGCACCTTCAGGAACTCATAAAAAAGGCTGCTAGAAATGAGGATTTTTGTGCTGAAAGCACTTGACTTGGACTTTTGAGATCTAAGTTCAATTCCAGGTTCTGCAACATATGTCCTATACGGCCTGAGACCAGTCACTTAATTTCTCTTTGCCTCACCTGTGCATCTGTAAAATTGGGATAATACTTCCTTTCCTCCAAAGAGTTCTATTAAAGTAAATCTCAGTGAGTTTAACTTCCATCTTTTCATATGGAAAAGGATTATTTAGCAAGAGTTTTGGGTCTTGAAAACATGTTTGTAGGGTAAGGAAGTTATTGTTCATTTGTGTGTGTTTGGCTTGGATATCATTACAAATGTGCTAGTTCTTATAGCTCCACCCAAATATAGCATTGCTTTTTCTGCAGGCGGTTGGCTTATTATAGAGATTGAAATTTGGCAGTTTTAAATTTGGGATCAAAGACAACATGGCTTGACTCTTATGAATAAGAGCCTACAAAACAGTAGGTTCATGAGGAATATGGCTATTGTTTTCATAGCTGAATCATAATTTTTTAATCTTTTTTTTTTACAGTTTCAGTGGATGTGTTGCTTTTTTTCTAATGTTGATATACATTGTTTTCCTGCTTGTTTTGATTTTATGTTAAAGCAGCTGATGTTTCATTGAAATGTTTTGTTTTAAACCAGCTTTTGAATATTTTTAGCATTCTGAACTTTGCAATACAAAAGAGATTTGCATAAAAGCAGGGTTGCTTTTTCTTTGAGTTCTTTTGTCCCTTCTGATCATAACTTACGAAGTCGTAATGGTCTTTATGACATAATATAGTTTTGATTATATCAATTAACTTAGTTCCACATAAGGAGTGAACAGCAGGAGGATATTAATACCAATAAACAAAGGTTCCTTTTTCATGAAAATAACCGTAGTAGTGTAAAATGGGGAAATGAAATATCTAAAATTCTCTAACTAGAATGTGTTCAGGAGAGAAACAGAGAAATCAAGCTGTTTCTGTTGCTTTGAAATGATGTGGCTTGTTATGGAAGATAATGGCAGAGTGGGAAACGAGCTTATAACAAATTTGTTCTGGTGAACTGACTCTTTTCATTCTAAAGAGCAGTAATCTAACTTTTTCTAAAAGAACAATACCATACAATTGTCCATTTAGAGTCCTCCAGACATCCCACAGTGAAAAACTGGTGTAATTTCCCTTTAAAAGTGACCTGCAAATGGGAGTGGGGAAAGTGAGCTTCTGCAGGGAGAAAATAACTTATGCTGGTGGCACAAAGTGTTCCTAAAGTTTATAATGGTTTGGGTGAATCCTTTGCTGTCACAGAGCCAGAATAGCTGGTTCTACACCATTTGGTAGGCAGAGGGAAAAGTTTATCCATTGTATATCACAGTGGGGTCTCTGTCTATGAGTAGAGCGCCTAGGCAGCACAGTAATACAAATAACAAACAATATCTGGGGTAGGAGGATGCTTGGTTAGAGCACAGGGGGCCCTGGCAATCCCCAGCCACTTTACCAGTCCTAGGATGAGTGAGGATGGAGCAGAAAGGTGATGTAAGGCACTTTCATCCATCCACACATCAGAGCAGAGCTCTAGTGCATCTGATGCAGATGCTGACTTTCTTTAATGTGACACATCTGAAGCACAGTTGCCAACTTTCATGTGATAAATAAGCACCCTGACTTTCACAATAAGCCAAAAATCAAGCTAATCCCATTTCAAAACAAGGCCAAAACGAGCCAATCCCTAAGAACCCCAACACTCTATGTGACTAGATCTCCTGCAGTCTGGGACTGTGGTGGGCCTGCTGTGCACCCCTGACTCTCTTGACACCCCTTGCCCCTGCTTGCCAGGAGCCAATTAAAAAAAAAAGCCCGGAGCTGCTACATTGTGGTAGTAAAAGGACAAAACATTACTTGTAAAAGGAAATCCTCCCAAACCCCTGGCCATCAGGAGATTGGAAGTAAAACCTAAATGTTAACACTGTATTGTGTCTTGCTTTTGTGCTGGTAGAGTCACAATTTCTTGGTTGCTCAGTAATTTGCTGATGCAGATTGTCTACTATTTTAGGTATAAGACGAATTGGCAGACGGCCTGATCAGCAGCAGCAGCAGCCGCCTCAGGGTGAAGGCAAGCCTATTGAGAGGAGACAAGAGAGACGACCGCCTCGTGAACGCCGATTCGATAAACCTGCTGAAGAGAAGGGTGAAGGAGGGGAATTTTCTGTGGATAAGTAAGACTTTTTCATCTTGCAAACAATCTTTGTGATGATTTGGGTCAGTACTCTTATTTCCCTCTACTGGTGTACAAAATTAATAAAATCTTTGAGCTGGTTGGATCAGAATATTGGTATCTTAATTTTGTTTACAAATCTTTTCTGATGAAGTTATCATGCAAAGTAGAATAACGATCTTTATCGTTATTGCATGATTTTGTTTATATACTTGATCCAGATTACGGTGGACCCAAGGTCTAGTCTAAAGACACAGTTGAACTGATTTTAACTAAAGGTGGTTTTTTTTTTTGAACTTGTGCAGAACTCTGTTCTGACTCTCTTATAGGTCTAAATCAGTTTAGCTTATGTCAATTTACAGTTATTCAATTTACAATCAAAAGCTAAACCTATAGATCAAGTTTTAAGCCATAGAGGGAATTCTGTCAGTTTAATTAGAGGTTTTCAAACTGATTTTAGTTAGACCAATGCAACTTGTGTGTAGACAAGGCGTAAGTTATGTGAATTCCAGAATTGTGTGTTTTAAATATAGTGCCACCAGGTATTATAATTTTTAAGCAATTGTACCATAATGAAAACATCATTACTTTTTAAAGAAATAAGCTGGGGGAGAATGGCCATTATTAAAGAGAATATGTGGTTCTTGTGATATTTATTGTATTGCTTGCAAAAATATGGTTGATTACTAGATGAAATAAGGTATGCAGTTGACTTCTAAAGCATTGTTTCAAGATTTTAGAACTCAGGCTGCATTTAAAGTGCTATTTTTTCATATAGTAATTAGATCATAGTATGCCTAAATGGATGTTTATATTCGACTAACGATATACAGCATAGAGTTTAAAAACAAATATATTGAAAGGCTCTGTGAGCTGTGCTTTACATTTTGGAAATGTAAAATTTAATGGCCTCTGTTCTATGATAGACCCGTTATTGACCGACTTGTGCGTGGTCGTGGTGGTCCAGGCGGAAGAGGTGGACGTGGTGGTCGTGGACGTGGAATGGGCAGAGGAGATGGCTTTGACTCCCGTGGCAAGCGTGAATTTGACAGACATAGTGGAAGTGATAGATCGTAAGTCTTAAACTCTTCCTAGTGTGTTTTTCTTTAGCCTTTAATAGAATACAAATCTTCATTTGCCTTTGAATTTCTGTATCCAGACACTATTATGTTAACTCAGTTTTGTTAGTGTTCTCTCACATTCCCATTTCAGTGGCCTAAAGCATGAGGATAAACGTGGTGGCAGCGGATCACACAACTGGGGAACCGTCAAAGATGAGCTAACGTTAGTAATCCGTAATTTCTTGAAATTTTAAATTAGAAAAATGTAAACAGGTCCCCCAGTTTCCACTATTTATAAAATATAAAAAAAGTATTTGCCTCTCTGGAATTTGTATTTTTTGGTGGGAGTTTTTAAGTCTCCAGTGTTAGTGGAAACAGCATTACTTTGTTTTCTTAAAATCGGTTTTGAAACCTTATTAACACTTGACAAGCGCAAGGTTACCTAATAACTTGCTAGTAACATTTGAGGTTGACTCTAAGATGTTTTTCTTTTCCACTTTTTGAAAAGCAGTGATTGTCACTTTGCATCATTTTACATCTACACTTTTTCAAGGGCTTCATTGTCTTTCTAGTCCTCAGTTTAATGCCTGGGTCAGTTTTACATTTGAGAAAGAGGCAGGGCATTGAAGTATTGGGGATTGATACTAAGAGCAATACAAGTCTTGGGAAAATTGCCCAGAAAATTGCAGCAATTGGCCTTCTTAAATCTATAAAGAGACTCACGTTTTTCATGAAATAGTGAGAAAAGCTCAACTTCATGACTAAGGCTCTGTGTTTGACATGGATTCCATGACCTCCGTGACTTCTGCAGCGGCTGGTGTGTCTTGGCCAGGTGCGCCAGCTGCTGCTGGGGCAGTCTTGGGGGCCCCCCGTCCCCCAGCAGCAGGAGTTTGGGTGTGTGGGGGTTCCAGGGCTGGGGATAGAGGTTGGGGGTTGCTTGCCTTTGGGGGGTGAGGGGGCGCTCCCCGGAAGGGCGACAGCAACTCCTTTCCCTCAGCTCCTGCAGGCACCGCCCTTGCAGCTTCCATTGGCCACAGTTCCCAGCCACTGGGAGCTGCAGAATCAAGGCTTGAGGTGGAGTGGAGGCAGCAGGTGGAGCTAGAAGCTGGGGTCCCTGCTTCCCAGGAGCAGGGTAGGGGAACCAGCCCCCCAGGGCCGCCCTCCCGAATTGCACCTTCCCACCTCTCCTCAAGTTTTAGTCAGAGGTATATAGTAAAAGTCATGGACAGGTCACAGGCCGTGAATTTGTTTACTGCCCGTGACCTGTCCATGCCTTACTAAAGATACCTGTGACTAAAACGTAGCCTTACTCATGACTATTAAGTGAGTCTGAGTTAGAGATTCAGTAACATCTTAGTAGTTTTAAACAGTTAGGTGGTGGTTTGAAGAAAAATCTCTTAATTGCAGTGATTTGGATCAGTCAAACGTGACCGAGGAAACACCAGAAGGAGAGGAACACCCACCTGCTGATTCTGAGAATAAGTGAGTACTATCCTTTTTACAACTTTCTTCAATTGCTTCACATACCATTTTTTTAACTATTTTACTTTTTAGTTTCTTGGGTTCTTTGGCCATGGTGCCATTGGCATGAGCTGTTACCCATGGGACCATTGGTATTTCTTCCACAGATATGTAAATGGTCACAGTACTGTTGAAAGACTGGGGAGAAGAGGAGCATGTTCTAAACTACCTTTATTTCTAGATGTTTACATGTTAATGGTTCATCAACTACTAGGCCACCTTCAGATTTATTTTGCTAGTAATCTGTTAAATTATAGTTTTAATATGCTTCCAAAATAAGATCTTCAAATCAAAACAAAAAAACTTGAAAGCTACCCAGCCACATCTGAGCAGAGTAACTACGCAGGAAGAGAGAGTTGGTAGGCAGCACTTCTTTTTACTTTTGGGTTTCCAAAATAGTTGTATTGATGATGGCCAAACTTCTGAAAATATTGCATGTCTTCCCAGTTCTGTTGCTGTGTGTATGTGTTGTTTGCAGATAACTTGACTACTTTTAATTTAATTTAACTTAACCTTCAAAGAAAGAGGGAACCAGAGAATTGGAAATCAGTGATTTTTTTAACACCTGTTGGATTGGTTGAATAAAAGCAAGTGGCTATATAGGAAACAAGATAATCAGTAGTGGGACCTGGGGTTCATGAAAACGTAATGTGAAACTTTGATAAGATAATAAATGTAGTAGATGAATGAAATGTAGTTTGTCAATTTTAGTATGGCATGTGATACAGTCCCATGTGACAATCTCTTAAGAAATGACAACTGGATTAGAGGGTAACTCGGAGTATACATTTGTCTGAGAAAATTCTAATAAGGGATGTAGTACCAGTCAGTTTTCTCATTAATGACTTTGGGGATAGTCATGAAGAGGAGGGCAAAGTTTTATTATTCAGTGAGGAAATTTAGATAAGAACAGTCAGACCAAAGGTCCATCTAGCCCAGTATCCTGTCTTCCGATAGTGGTCAATGCCAGGTGCCCCAGAGGGAATGAACAGAACAGGAAATCATCAAGTGTCCTTGTCCATTCCTAAATTGAGTATTAAAGGCCAAATTTTGCCCCTGTAAGGCTGGGGAAGACTCTGGTACAGCAGAAGTGCAGTTTGCCCCATGTCCCATGCATCTCTGTTGTGGTGAAGATCCCCACCTTCTAGTATGTAGGTGAGCAGAAGTGGGGTCAGTGGATCCACCAGCAGATTTCCCGTGCACTAGGGATGGCAGGGAAGTGCTCAGGATGTGGAACATCTTGATTGGTCCTCCAGAGCCTGAGGCGAGTGTATGTGATGCATTTCCAGGGATTTCTGGCTCAGTCTAACCACTTGCTGCATGCTGGTGTTTTGAGATTTGGCCCCTAAAACAACAAAACAGTAACACAAAAATCTGCTGTGGAAGGGAGACTTACTCAAGGTTAGAGTAGGGATCCACCCAACAGGGAGGGTTTACAGATAACTACATTTTCCACAGTGCTGCAGAATTGAGTATATGATGCACTAGATTCCCACTACCCAAAATGATAAATCAGTTGTTAATATACAAATGTTCCTTAAAACAGATTATCTCTGAAACACTTGATGTGAAGTTGGGTGGATGAAAAACTGCATCCTTCTGTTTGTGGCTTTAATAGTAATACCTTTTAAATGTTAACATTTTGTTCTTTACCCAAAAGTAGCTCTTGACATCACTCAAAATGCTCAACCAGTAAGTCAGAACACAGTTTTGGAAAAATCAGCATTGAGAGCACTAGTATGATAAACATATTATTGATAGATTTATTTAAAATAATTACATTGACGTAATCGGAGTTTTGGTACTGAGTCCATTTCTACTTGTTACAGCTGTTTAAACAGTTTGGTTCATGTTGAAGATCATTTTTACAGTGTGAATCACATGGAAGTCTTGCATTTGCCTCCCAGAATTGCATTCAATATATACTTTATAGGAAAACAGTTATGTTAAACTAAAACCACTAATTTCAATAGCTGTAATGTTAAGCATATTTTGCTGGACGTGTTAGAAGCTTAGTTTGTCATTATTAAAGCTTGTGTTAAAAATGAAGTGTTTCAAACCAAAACAGACTAATATTACTAATATTTAATATGTTTAACAGTTGATCAAACAATTTTTGCTTCTCCTGGAAGTTATTGGAGTAATATCCTATTCTAGCATGCGTCTGAGTAGCATACTAGTGTGAATCTCAGGTGAGCTGCATTTAGTGGAAATCAGGTTTCCCCTGCAGCATGGAGTAGCTTAGGTACCTTTGAAGCAGATCTGGAGTATAGAATGCTAAAGTAGGAGAAAGAAGTCTAGTAATTTTAATTTGGTCAAGTTTAGGTAAAAGATGGGTGGGATAGAAAATAAGAAAGTAAGTTTGCAAGCTCACACACTGCTGTACATTTTCAAAGAGCAGTACACACATTTATTAGTGTTCTTATTGAATTAGGATGTGTTTCTATTGAACCATGGGGTGGTTTACATAGAATTTCACCCTAAATTTGGAATAGCAATTTGTAATCTGTTCAAATAGCATGTAGACACTTTCCATTAGTAAAATATGCAGAATGCCAACAGAAGGGACGTCCTTAGCCAAATGAGGACAAATAGGTAGAAGGTAACTCAGGCATTGGACAGTAAAGTTAACTGTGGATGTTAGTTTACATAAGCTTCATGGAACAGATTGGAAGGGAAATCCATTGGGAGGCTGCCCCCACCACCTGAGACAGCATAGAAAGTAGCATGGAAACTGGGAATTATGCAAAGAAGATAAGAGGTGGTTGGTCAAACAGGCTTGAGTGGGAGCATAAGATAACTGGATGAAAATGGAAATGATGTGGGTAAGTGGGGACTGATGTGTTCTCACGTAAATAGGGCTTCTGTTTGTACAGAGCTATATATATCTTGGAGTTTACACTGAACTCATTTACGTTCGATTTATTTTAAATGTTTGTTCTGGAAGCATGATCATACACTTCAACATTATTTTCCTTAATGTTCTTTAAACTATCAAATTAACAAGGGGTAAATAATTTTAATGAGATAGGTTTATAGAAAGCTCTCTGAGATTTTTAAAACTTTAGAATGAGGTATTTGGTAAACTTCTTGTTGGAAATGGAGACTAGGGAGGCAAAACTAAACAAATCCAAACTAATTTGCTGCTAATGTATTATTTTGTTTATTCCTTTGGTTGTAAGTAAAGACCTTTGAATTCAATTTTCTCCTTCTGATTGATCTCATATTGAAGCCACTATGGCCGTATGATATGCCACAACTGATTATTTCAGTGTAGCATGAACTAACAGGAGAGGAATATACTTGAATTGAGAAAATTCTGTCTTGAGCGCTAATAACTTCTAAAGTCCCTCTTTAGGCATAAGAACGGCCGTACCGGGTCAGACCAAAGGTCCATGTAGCCCAGTATATTGTCTACTGACAGTGGCCAAAGCCAGGTGCCCCAGAGGGAGTGAACCTAACAGGCAATGATCAGGTGATCTCTCTTCTGCCATCCATCTCCATCCTCTGACAAACAGAGGCTAGGGACACCATTCCTTACCCATCCTGGCTAATAGCCATTAATGGACTTAACCACCATGAATTTATCCAGTTCTCTTTTAAACGCTGTTATAGTCCTAGCCTTCACAACGTCCTCAGGTAAGGCGTTCCACAAGTTGACTGTGCGCTGCGTGAAGAAGAACTTCCTTGTATTTGTTTTAAACCTGTTTAATACCAGTAGGCACATCATGACCTACTGGTATTTGTTAGAAAAGGCCAGTGCAGTGACTTACTGTAGCTTTTTGTATTGCTAGAGAATTTTCCAGTGCTGGAGGAAGAGACTAGTCTCTTGTTGTGTATTTTATTTATGAGGTGCAAAGCTGTCTGATTCAATGGCAGTATGTATTACATTCAAAAAACCTACACTAAAAGAACATTAAGGTTGCAAAATCAAGCGCTCAAAATTAGAAAATGCCAGAATTAAGGCTGCCTGTGGAACCTTAATTTGGTGCTCTTGTGAGTATGCATTATGAAACAGTCCTTAATTACAAGAGCACACGACCTTTGCTTCATGCACAGGACAGACTGTGCTCTGGGGGATGAATCAGGGGGTTGTAGTTGTCTGTAAGGACCCCTACCTTGTTTGTAGTGGAAGTTGGAAGATGTACAGTGAATGAGGCATGGAACTGCAGGTAGAGAAAGGATGTGGTTAATACAGTTGAAAGCCACCCTGCAAAGATAGGTTCTATCCCTGCCTATGCCAGAGAGGAATTATATGATTCTGGGCAAATCGTGTAAACAAAAATTTTCATAAGCAGTTCTAGGTTTCTCATTTTCTGGTTACCCCATGAGACACCCAGTGTCTGAGTTGCAGCAATTGTGAGCACTTACAACTGCAACTGTTGTAAATGGGGGCTCTCCTTTGAATGTATAAAGTGCTATAAAAAACTAAGTAATATGAAAAAACAGGCCTAAAATGTAAATGAGGTAATACATTAAAATAAAAAATTAAATTAAAATTTGATGCCCAAAATTAGTTTACATTTCTGACAATTTTGGCTTTAATCTCTTTCTCAATGGATATAATGCTTACCTCACTTCACATGAGTGTTGTGAAGATAAAATTATTCATGTTTGTAAAGCAATATATTATCATAAGCACTATAGAAAGGGCCCAGAAGAAATTAATGATACTGTTTTCAGTACCGGGTTTGGATGAAGATAAAAAAGAAATATTGAATAGCTTCCTTATCAGTGAGTGCTGTTCATCCTGTGTTGAATGAGGTTGGGTCATATGGGGGAAAATATGTGATCATGTAATTAAAGACAGTATCATAATGCATATGCACGAGAGGGGCTAATGCTGTACAAGCAAACTTAATTTTGGAATTTCCTAACTTTTGAGTGCTTGACTTTGTGACATTAATGTTCTTTTAACATGATTTCTGGATGCAGTTTCCTAAGTGGTTTTTTTTTTTTTTTTTTTTTTTTTTTAAATTTTAAAGAAAAAAATCATGTGGAACTATATTGATAACCCTGCCTGTGGGTCATCAGCAGGTTGGGATCTTTAAATTCACAGTAGTCCTCTACTGCTTGAGCTAATAGAGTAACTGTGGTAATGGAAGAAGGTTGTGTACCTGCCATTAGAAGGAGATGGGGAGACACTTCGCTAGTTGGTTTCAGAAAGTTCACTCAGGAATAATTAAATCAATTCTAGGTTCTCTAAAGGCACATCTACACTACAAAGTTAAGTCAACCCTACGTTAGGTCGACTTACAGCACTGCAGTAATTACTGCAGTTTTTCATGTCCACGCTGCTGTCCTTCTGTGTGTGGTGTGTGTCCTCATTAGGAGTGCTTGCACTGACTGAAGAGGGGCAGTGTGGGGGGGCTGAGAGCCTGGGCTCTCGGCTCGGTGCCAAGCTCCAAGCTGGAAGCTTGGCTGCTAACCAGGTTCTCAACTCCCCATGGAGCTCCCAGTTGGAGGCCAGCTACTGCCAGGGCTCTCAGCTCCCCACTCCCTGCGGCAGACAGTTACAGATGCTGCATCACCCAAACTACATCAACCTAAGCTGTATGCCTCTTGTCGAGGTGGATTTACTAGGTTGGTGTAGCAGGCAAGTTACGGTGGCAGGAGGAACACTGTGGTGTGTACGCTTACATAGTTAAGTTGATGTAAGCATGCCCTAAGAGAGTGTGCTTTAGTGGTTACAGACCCTTTTGCCCTTGATCCCCCCCAGCGTCTACCTGCCACTTCTGCTCCTGTCCCCTTCCCTGCTACTCCTTGTTGCCTCTAGTCATCTTCCCTATGCTTTTTTCCTATCTGCCCAGCATCACTTCCCTTATCATCCTCTTCTGCATTTGAGCTTCTTCCTTTTCCATCCATGCTGCGTGGGCACCAGGAGGGGGTAGTATTGAGGGTGCAAGGCAGACATTCCTGTTTTTTAGTTCCAGTGCCCCTAGAGGCAGCATGCTTAGTTGCTCTTTGGGGATGGCACATGCAGTCTGGTCTCAGGAGCTGTGTCTTTGCTGAACATGTGCAAACTGAGATATTTTTGGAGGCTTATATCTTTCCACATCGGTGCAAATTTTCAGAGATGGCAAAAGGCATCCTGAAACCTGGGTAATCCTCCTTGCCAAATTTCAGATCCTTCCTCCAAAGCATGGAATAGTAGAGCTTCTTAGCAAAGTAGCTGAAAACAATTTTTTAAACATGGCCAAACATATTTTCCATAACCTTGTTCTTTGAAACAGCTGAACTGTTTCAGCTGAGTACTTAAGTCTGAGTCTTTGTTTAACATTAAAAAAAATACCTTTCCATTATCACACCACAAATTAAGGTTACTAAATAACAAGAAACTTTCTCATTTAGTTGATGCTTTTATAGTATTTTACATATGCCTATGCACACTGTTCTCCCAAGAAGTCCAATGAAATGTAAATACTGAATGTTAGTGGTATCATTTGCCCTATATAAACATACTAGGTGAAATAGGTACAGCATTGTGTTCTCAGTATGGGTAATTAGAGCACAATCTGTTACTGAACACAGTGACCGAGTATTTAAAAGATACAAAATAGGGGTTTTTTTTGGCAGAGATCAGAGACACTTAGTGAGTGAAACTGCAATACTTAGGAATCAGATCTTAAGTTGTTTACAATTATTGTTTCAAGGTAGGTGAGACTATAACTGTGATCTGGTGGAGGTGTAAACCATTTTGTGCATTTTAAGATTAGAAATTGAATGAAGAAACAATTATTAAAATACGTATTTGAAAAATTGCCAAGACTGAGAACAGTATATGATAGTGTGCCTCACTTAATTTGCTTGCCATCCCAGTCTTATTTTCATCATCTGCTAGGGGACATCTGAAAAACTGATTCCATGGCAAAAGGTAAAAATCTCATTTGCTGTGAAAAATAGCATTAATGGGTATAGGAGTACATTGGGCCTTACTAACTTGAAACTGTTTACTGTGCTATACTCCCATTTTGTTGTTCAGAGGCACTTTGCTCTGCTGTTGCTGAGTTTTTATTTGTTGGTTAGGGTGGACATCCCATCTTACTTTTGAAAAGCAACACACCCTTTCTGTAGGGCAGAGTTCTGAAGATTTTCTACTCTGTATCCTAATAACTACTACTAAATCTTTGACACAATGAATTCCCCTATATTCTGATACTGATGCACTGTTTTTGGATTTGCTATGCATAGTTATTTAAAATATTAATGAATAGAAATTAAGTAATCATAATAAAAATGAATTTCATTCAGAGAGAATGAGGTGGAAGAGGTTAAGGAAGAAGGCCCAAAAGAAATGACCCTGGATGAATGGAAAGCTATTCAGAATAAGGATCGTGCAAAAGTTGAATTCAACATCCGTAAACCAAATGAGGGTGCTGATGGGCAATGGAAAAAAGGATTTGTTCTCCATAAGTCAAAGAGTGAGGAGGTAAAGTAAAACTTAATGGTATTCCAAAGTGCCTAGATCTCATGCTGTTAAAATATATTTACTGTTTGACGTGCAGATTTTATTTCTTGACGTGAAGATTATGGCAATAAAATTGCTGTTTAAAAGCAGGAATAGGGTGCTTTGCTACTAAAATTTTTAAGCAGCATAAATAAAACCGTTTAGTGCAGTCAGTTTCGGCTACTGGGCTGTCTCTTTTTAGCTTAGTGGGTATTATTTTTTTATCTACAAAAGTAGTGTGTTAAAACTCTGGAGAGGTACTGCAGTTTTGATAGGTTCATAAGGAAGTTCTTTTTGAGCATTTAAAATAAAACCTTACCTTATCAACATGCAAGTGCATTTAAACAAATTATAGCTTAAACTTTGAAAGGCATTTGATCAAGTATCAAATAATACATTCAGTAATTTTTTATTGTTACTGTCATGCCCAAAGGTCTCAGTCAGGATACGAGCTCATTGTAGTAGGCCCTGTACAAACGTGTCTGAACATATAGGCCCTCTCTGTAACATCTAATTTCATAATGTCAGTATCCTGATGTTTTGCAGTGCTACCTAGAGCGCCTGTAAAGAATATTAAATTAAAGAAACCACGGAGTACTTGCTATTTTTCTGTAATGTTCATTCTAGTAACTGTTTTATGAACCAGAAACAGGGCAATCCAGTGTTGTGAAGAATCACAGTATCCAATCCCCACAATATCTAGCAGATTATCGGACCTCGCACACTGGTGTTAGAAGCTTCACAGATGCAAATTCCTTTGAATTTGCTTCCTCTCCTGAAACTTAAACGGCATCGTTTTGTAATGCGGACTAGCCAGTGGTTTAAAACAGCTTTGCAAACAGTCATTAAGGGGCTTTTTAGTTGTCTTTGTTTTAAATATTAGCTTCAAAAAAGGATGAGTGACGTGGTCTGTGACAAGCCAAGGATCTAGAACTTTGTTCCGTAGTTTGCACTGACTCCCACTAAGCCAGTAAATTGTAATTACTCTCCTTAGTTTTTCTAATTGGATAAATTGATGCTCTCAACTTTTTACATCTGTCACTCTTGTTAAGTATACATACCCAATTTATTTTTCATAGAATTTAAACTACATGTATGGATAGATGAGCACTCTAGCCGCAGTTCGTCGTCTATAAAATGAGGGTACTAATACTAGCCTCTTGTTGAAGAGTACATTCTGAGACTAGGCAGTACTTGGATAATACTGTGATTGTGGCTATATAAGTGCTTAGATCTGTGTGCTGTTACAGACTCAGTACTTGCCATTTTACTTAAACTAAAGAATATTTAAAATTTGTCAATAAAAACACTTGAATGTGCATGGCATCAGTAGAAAAGACAGGTTTTTATTTTTTAGTTTAAATTTTGCCTCGCAGTATAGAAATAAACGGCTTTTCAGAAGAGTGAATTCTTTTGGAATGACATCATTGGGAGTCCGTATTTTATGGGGGAAGTAAGTTGTAAGCTGGGGCAGTGACTGTCTCTTTTTGTTCTGTGTTTATATACTGCCCAGCACAGCGAGGTTCTGATCCATCACTTGGGCTCCTAGATGCTACAGTAACAAAAATAAAAAAAATAATTTCCTGGGTTAATTTGTTTCTATAAGACCCAGCTCTTGCTAGAAAGGCGAAGTGGAGAATGATGAGATTATACTAGGAAAAACTGACTTCCAAGGGATATAGACCATATAATTCTTTGAGAGAGAGAATTTTCTAATTGCCGTTAGATAATTGATTTTTTATTTACCTATATGTTTGTGTGTTAAGACAATCTAATATTTTTTTGGAAGTTTAGCGGCTCTTGAAGTCATGCAGACAGTCTGGAACCTTTTTCTCTAAACCAGATCAGTTTGGTATCTGGCCAAGGAGACTTGAATTTTATTGTCTCCTCTAAAAATAAAATAAGGATAAAATACTGCGGCAATACTGTTGAGCACATGCAAAGGTATATACATACCATATCTTTTATCTTAATTAGTAACTTTCTTATTTTCTGGAGTTGCAATTTTTAATTTTTAAAAATTTATATAAAGACTCTCAGTATTTCAGCTCAACAAACGCCTCTCCCCATCCGTATTGATTTGTCACGGATTCAAAGAAGGGAGGTACATTTTTATTAGCTGAATATGGAAAGGGAGCTTTTCATAACATAGAAGTCCAGAATAGCAGTTGCATGAGCTCTCTACCAACGGATTGAGGAGTACAATAATCCAAAAGTTGTCAAACAGAATCCAGAAATCGATATTTGCGGCTATTTCCATTCCTCCTTCTTTCATACCACCTGATCAACCATGAAAGCATGAAATCTGATGATGTGATATGGAATAATTCACATTTAGGCCACTGGTGCAAACCTTGCTCTGATCGATAGCAATCAAAAGTTGCCATGCAATAGTGGTTTGGCTTGTGTGTATATATATATATATATGTTTGAGGTTTCAGTCCAGGTCCTTCTGGACTGTTGTGGACAATACAGATGATCACAGTGTGCCTCAATTGATAGTCTCAACAGAGTAATCAGGCATTGAATGGGCTTGGTGATGGAACAATTTTCAACCCTTCAAATACGTTTTGAGATAATTGGTGGGCAAGTGCCACCCTGAGTCTCTAAGGATAGAGGACTTAAGTGTCCAGTGCTCGCCATCTGCCTTAAAGTCATGAAAGAATTGCCCCCCATACCAACCTCAATTTTCTTGTTTGCTGTTTCAAGGAGTTACAGCCAAGCATTTATCTAGCTGTTTTATCCTTTTCAGATTTTCCATGAAACAGTAAAAAAAAACGGTGGTTGTCTAGTAAAATTCACTCAAAAGTAACTCTCATTGTTAGATTTAAGATGAGATCTGTTGAATTTTGGGAATCTTGATCCAAATTCAATAAAACCCTTTCCACGTACACATTAAATTGGATTGTGTGACATAAAACAAATCTCAAATGTTGCCCTTCAGATTTGTTTTACTGAGTCATACACAAATTCTGTTGACATAGCTGAAAAATCAAAATGTAAATGGCATTGTAAAAAGGATTTAAAGTTTCAGGTTTAAATAATTTTAGTGGCGAAAGACTTGCTGGCTAATCAGTCCATATCATACATGTTTGCTATACAGATTGTTTGCTATGCTTCCAAGCTTTCTTGCCTGTCCTAATTTTCATAGTGAGAGATATAGTGTGGTGGGAGGTACCTGTAAAAGCTTTAAATTGTTTGTTGGAAAATACCTGAGATCTTTGAAAATTCAGAAAACTGTAAGTCCTCTTTGTAAACTTTTTCTGGTTCTTTTTTTTTTTATGACCCTTTGTGAAAAACACAAGATTTCTTATATCAGCCTTACAGTTGGAACAGTGACCCACAAATCCAGACTATGTGTAGATATTTTTTTACCGGATGAGCAATACTTTAATATACCAGCTTAGGTTCTTATACTGCACAACTCAGTGTGGTGGCTGAGAACCTGAGATGTGAATTTGCATCTTTGTTTCCTCACTGGGTTTGCAGTTGTGGTATTTTAAATTTGACCACTGTTGAATCAAGATACGTCACTCCATGAATCTGCAATTGTACGCAGTCTTTTTCTCTTTGTGGGTACTTGTGTAGCCTTTTGTTGTTTCATGTACTCAGTGGCGTATGTATTCAGCGGGTTCACTTAACCTTAGTGTCTGGTATTTCTGTATGTAATGGAGTCTCATTTCTTCCTTTTGTTTTTATACCTTTGGTGTGGACACACAACTTGCATCAGACAAAGGGGATGACAGAAATGCCGGGGAGTCCGCTGGAGTCTAATGAGGTACCAATCCTTTATAGCTGTAATTAGTGATATTTATCGTATATACTCATTCATTAGCCCGTTCGTTTATAAGCCTACCCCCCAAGATGGTTACGTAAAAATAGCAAAAACTGTATGTCCCTTTCATAAGCCATCCCTATATTTCAGGGGTTGGCACCCTAATGGGCCAGGAGCCAAAGTTTAAGCCGCTAGCGGGCCTGGACGTTTTGTTTACCTGGAGCATTCACAGGCACGGAGCCCTTCAGCTCCCAGTGTCCGCGGTTTGCCGTTCCCAGCCAATGGGAGCTGAGGGGCTCCATCCCTGCAGATGCTTCCAGTAAAAAAAAAAAAAAAAAAAAAAAGACAATGTATTAGATACTCAATTCATGATTTCATAGAGTTTAAAATCATCAAATTTTGGTGTCGACCTGTTTATAAGCCGATCCCCGCTCTTTGATGCGTCACATTTTACCAAAAATATTCGGCTTATGAATGAGTATATACGGTATGTTTTGATGTGACCTCCTTAATCAGCTAATCATTATATGAAAACATATGCAAGGAAATTAATAACAATAGAGCATATAATATATGGTATATAACTCTTCTGTCCATGCCTGGTGCCTTGCTGTGTATCATGAAACGGTCATACATAACTAGAATGTTTGCTCCCCACAAAATTACAACCCTTTGCTTCCTAAGTGTCTGCTTCTTTCATAAGTCCCTCTTACTTTTTTCATACCACGCCTTATACACAGAAGCCACCATCCTGAGAGAGTCCATAAAGTTATTTTTCACAACCCACCTCAAGACCCACTTCTGCCGTGATGCCTACAGGAAATCATCAGCTGATAATGGCGAGATAGTGCCAGAGAGAATTGCTGTTTGTTCGTTCATACTTAGAATAGCTTTCAAAATGAGGTGGAAACATCAAGCCATGCATAAAATGTGCCGGTGTAATCATATGTTCTTATTACTATTGCCCTCATTTCCCTCCTGTTTTTTTACTCTTTTGTTAGTTTGTCTTAAATTAGATCGTAAGTTCTTTTGAGCAGGGACAGTATCTTCATATATGTTTGTATAGAGCCTATCACAGTGAGGCCTTCCATGATCCTCATGGTGGGGCTTTTATGTGCTACCCAGTTTACTAAAAATAGATTCATTTTCTGATGTGTTATGCAGCCTCTGGTTGTTCAAGCCATAATGTGTATTTATTGCAATAGTTGAATCATCTCCTACCCCCCTCCCCCCCCAATCATAGTAGAAAATAATCGGTCTGAAGTCAACAAACATTTATTTTAACTTCAGCGAAAAAGGAGGGGATTATGTTCTCTTTGAAATTAAATTAAATCATTTAATGTTAACTGACAATTGCTATTTATGGCTCTTTATTCTGATAAAATCTGGTTTTGAATAAGCTAACTCTTTTGGTAAAACTAATACTGTAACTGAAAACTTAATAGCCTACCAGAAGTAAGTACATTTTAGGAAGCCAGCTCAAAAAAGATGCATGTAAATGGCTTTGTAATGTTGATATAGTTTTCTAGACTTCCCACTGGTTTTGTTTTTTGTTTTTTAATGATTAATTGTATTATGCATGTGTTTGTTAATAACACCCCCAGCCTTACTGACTTGCCAATATACATTTTGGTACTGGTCCTTAGGATTCCTCAACACAATAAATGCTGAATACCTTGGGGGCCAACTAGCTCCAGAAGATTTTTTTTTTAAGTATGCACTAATATGGCACAAGGTTAGGGCTCTTGTGTAATTTTCACTATAGCTCATGATACCAATTTGTTCTTTTTTAAGCATGGTATGTTCGCTGCCATCATGGTTGCAGTATATCGTGCGTACATCTAATCCATTGGCCATTTGGGGCAATGGTATGGTGGGTGAAGTACTATGAAACTTTTTTTCTTGGGTTTAGATAGTGCAGAGGGATATGCAAATAGAGAAAGTTAAAAAGCAATCATGTTAAATATGCAAAGGTTATCGACACTCAATGAATAACAATTGAAATATAGAACTAGCAGGAGTCCTGGAAGAGGAAAGAGAGAACAATAGAAAATGAGATTCAGTATTGCCTTTTTATTGTTCTTAGTGAGAAAGATATGGATGCTAAGTAAATTCTTTCAGTTCTGTTTTCAGAAAAGCTAAATCAGCTCTTGTTCCTGTAATGGAATACAAGAAAGATCTAGGAATAGCCCAGTGTGTTCCATTTAAAGTTCTTTTGGCAAATGTTTCCTTTGCTGTATGCTAGCTTGTATGTTAGTGGAATTTCTGTATTATTCAAACAAAGTTGATCTATTTCTCATAAGGAGAAGAACCTGCTGGTTTCTTGATCTTAGACTCTGAACCTAGCATACTTATGTACTTGCGTAAAGCTAAGCTCATAGCTAAGTGATTGTAAGAGCAGGGCCTTAAATCGGAATTTTTTTAAGTGGTGTGGTGCATGCTTTCGTTTTAATTTTAGGCTCATGCTGAAGACTCTGTAATGGATCATCACTTCCGTAAACCAGCAAATGATATTACGTCCCAGCTGGAGATCAATTTTGGAGACCTTGGTCGCCCCGGACGTGGTGGCAGAGGCGGTAGAGGTGGCCGGGGGCGTGGTGGAAGGCCCGGGCGTGGAAGCAGAACTGACAAGGTAAGTAATCTGCTTAGATCCACAAATTATTTTCTTTTTAACAGTCTCTTTCCCAGCAAATTGGGTTAATAGATCATAAAGCTTTTCCAGAAATCTCTGCCATTTTTAGATAAGCCATTATTTTTAACATGAGTAGTTAACCACTGCAACAGTTTACCAAGGGGTGTGGTGAATTTTCCATCACTGACAATTTTTAAATCAAGATTGGGTGTTTTTCTAAAAGATATTTTCTAGGAATTATTTTTGGGAAGTTCTGTGGCCTGTGTTGTACGGGAGGCCAGACTAGATGATCAGTGGTCCATTCTGGCCTAGGAATCTGTGATATGTGTATTCTTTTTATAGAGATCATTGTTTTAGTAGTCCATCCTTCCTCCTGTTGGAGCGGAGAAAGAGCCTGTCACAGCTAGGAAACACATAATCAGCACTCTTGAGGTACTTAAACTGCACAATTAGCATGTATCCCTGTAAGTTTCAGGTAAACTAGTTTTTCTACTAGAACTTAAGGATGTAACTTGGCAATGTTTTCATTATTGGCAAAATTGACTCTCAAATGTTAGCTCTGGTCAAGTGTAGGTAGTCTCTTGGTCTGTCCAAGGCCGTGGTCAAGTGTCTTGATGTTTTTGGTCTTTTGGCCTCGAGATGAAAACCTTGTCTTTGCTTCTGGGACCTTGAAGTGAAAAAATTCTTTCAGGTGTCATTATAGGTTACACGGTGCCTAGGAATGCTTTGTCATCTCTAATTGTCTATATTATCCCTGACACACAACTCACAGTTTATGGTTGCATTTTTTCCATTGACTCAGACATGTTCCAGAAGATGTAAATTTTCCTCTAGAAAAGTATGCAAAGGTAGCAGACTGTAGAAACCAGGTCTTCATGTTTTCACTTAAAATACTTCTTAATTCCCTCTACCTTTTCTTGTCCTCGGTAGACTTCCGTCATTACTGCTTTAGTAGTTTCTATTTTCCTGGTTTCTGCAACAATTCTCTCTCTCACTAGAAAGCGAAAGCACCTAGGGCTTGTCTGTATTAGAAGAACTGTACCAGTGTAACCCTAAAGCAAATCATCCCTGCTATAGATACAGTATGAGCAAGTTTAGTTGGTCATTTAACCAATTTAAGTGCATCTATGCTAGAGGTTTGCACCTTTTAAATTTATTTAGTTGCAGCACTGGTGTAATTTTTCAAATGTAGGCCAGCTTGTAATCACTCCTTATTCAAAATACCTTGCTCACTTGCAACACTCACAGAAATCTGGTTTTCTTTTCTCTTCTGCATTAGCTCACTTGGATGTTTAGATTTAGTAGTTGGGAAATGATGCTACAAATGCTGTTGAATTGGGTTTTCTTTCCTTAGAATCATGCCCAAAATCCAGGTATTTCTTGTTCTAACTTGGTACTCCAGTATGACACCTAATTTCTTTGACTGTTTTTGTGATGGCATTCTTGAAGGCTTTCAGATCTTGCAGCTATTTTGTGTTGACTTTGTGTGTTTCCTTCCAGTTGGTGAAGGAGTTTGACGTGATCCACACACCCAATCAGGTTGGTGATTTACAATGATAGCGTTTTGTTTATTTTACCTTTGAGTTAGGCTAGTCTATTGTGGAGACAATTGGTTTCTGCATGGATTGGCTTTTATGGCTTATCTTTTTAGTTTTGATGGAATGGAAAAACGGGAGGGCTAGAGACCTGGCATAGCAGATCCTTGCCCCACTGATGTCCATACTCCCAGCGATGGAGGGGTGTGTGTGTGTGGGGGGGGGGGTGTATATTTGGATTTTGGCATTTCTGCCCTTTCTGTTTGTTTGAAATTCCTTCTTTCTTGCAATTGCAGTTTGGATTTTTGGAACATTGGGTTGAGGTTGAAGCCTCTTCATTCCTAATTTAATCATTGCATCCTTATTCAGATGCAGCATAGCAACCTTCATAAAAGATGGTTGAAGATATGCTTAAGGGACTCTTTAGTTCAGCTTTAGCTTGCCAATTGTTGCTTGGTGTATTTCAACTCTAGTATATGTTAGCACAGGTTTCCACTTGAACTCAGACTTGGGTTTAACAGAACTCTATTCCTGAAAAACTAGTCTTATTTAAATTCTGTGAATTCCCAAGAAACTTATTTTTCCCCAGTTCTATTGTATATCTCTGTGTTGGCATAAACAGTTACAGATTTTAAAGTGACAAAATATTTACATTTTCATCTATGAATAAAAACTATACAGTCAACAACACTGTTGTGACCCATCCCTTCATGCCATGACAAGACTTAGAATTTGTGTCAATATATGGCCACATCACAGGTTGTCACTTGGTTCATGTCTAAGGCTGTACTTCTAATAGAATGGGATCAGCCATATGTGCGCATACATATATATATATAATATATATATATATATATATATACACACACACACACACACACACACACTTGTTTTATACCTTTTGAAAAACACATGGCACTATGAGATAGATGTACTATAACTATAGTGATGCCCAAAATGGATAACTGAATAGTGGAGTAGCAGCAGTAAAATGTTAGTGTGAGAGATCTGACAGTGTGATTTACTGTGGAAAAAATCATAGGAAATTTCAGTAAATTTATTTTGACTGTTTTATATACTACTTTGAAAACCCGTTGTTTGGCATTTTAGCCATTTTCTTAACTTTAAGCTTCCAACTTGCTAGACACAAGTGTATCATTATGCATAACATTAAAAAAGACGAAAAGTGTAAAGATTAAAAACTTTGTGGTTCTCCAGTTAATTTCTATAATATGTTTTTCTTTCAGTCAAGTGCTTCTGCTCCTGATGTAGATGACCCAGAGGCTTTCCCAGCTCTGTCCTAAACTGGATGTCATAAGCCACCTCTGCCCCCTCGGTGGGCCCTCCTCTACGAGGCTTGCATGCTTAAGGATCCTAAACAACTAAGAAATTTAAAAATGAGACTGTCATTCATACCATTCACACCTAAAGACTGAATTTTATCTGTTTTGAAAATGAACTTCTCTCGCTACACAGAAGCAACAATATGGTAGTCAGTTTTGTATTTAGAAATGTAATGGTAGCAGGGATGTTTTCATAATTTTTTCAGAGATTATGCATTCTTCATGGATACTTTTTTGTATTGCTGCTTGAAAATATGCGTTTCCAAACTTGAAATATAGGTGTGAACAGTGTGTACCAGTTAAAGCTTTCACTTCATTTGTGTTTTTTAATTCGGGATTTTAGACGTTTTCTCCAAACTACAAACTGGTTTTTAAATATTGCACACTATTTCTGTTTCCTTTAATACCTACTTAGCAGATTTTTATCAACCCATGGTCAGTTGGGATACGTAGAATTTAATTTGGCAAATTGTTAGTACCATGTTAGTACCATGTGGAATACTATTCTGGAATACTTTAATTTAGTTTTTAATACTTAATTTCAGACTTGGAAAAACAGTCATTTTTCATCTATCTTTGGTAGTTTGTTGTGTATGCAGAATCTTTATACAAAGTTGATATCAAATACTTGAAAAATAGTCAAAGCACATTGGTTTTTGGTCAAGTACCTGCATATTGATCCAGCAGTGATGTGCAGATGATTGGTCTAAAAAGTTTTTTAAAATTATATTACACCTTTCACTCACTCTTTTTACCTTTATTCCTTTCTCCTTTCAACAAAACTAGATACTTTATTGGTAAACATTGTTTATCCTACTTAATATTATTCTTTGGGAAAGTATCCTCTAGACTGGGGCAATTCTAATTCTTTCTGTTCTACAGGACTGGGAGGTGGCAAAGGGAGCATCATCTATTTCTAATACAGTCTATTTAAATTTCATTTGGACTATGGAATTTTGGCAGTGCAGTATGTTTATATAAATACATCACCATCTGATGTATTTACACACTGTTCCATTAGCTGCAATTCTTGTTCTGAAGAGGAAAACAAAGGACACCATCTAGGTCTGGGAGGAGAATATTTGACTCATTTAAGTCAGAGAACAAATCTCTTCAATAGGAGACATCTGTGGTCTGCATGGGATACAAACCAAAAAAACCTTACCTTTTGCTCTAAATTTTGTTCTGAATTTTTGCTCCATTTCTTCACCCTTTGGTCTCTGATTACTCGCTGACAAATAAATGTTTTTCAGAGGGTGATTGTAAGAAGACCCGCTACGCCCTGTAGAAATTCCTTCTAGGTTAATTTAATCCCTGTGAACAGGAACATTACCACTTTCCAAATATGAAAGGACTTGAGAGAATGACTAATAAAAAAAGATTTCTTAGGTTTTTTCTTTTGTCTGCAGCATTTGTTAGGAGACTAGAAACAGGTTGCTCATTTTATTTAATGTTTTATTCTTAGAGCAGCTTTAAAATATTTGTAGTTTCTTAACCAGGTAGATAGAAAACAAATGGTAATGCCCTATTTTTTTAAAAGCTGTATAGGACAGGCAAAAAATATTGGAAACCTTTGGATATGAAACTTTTGCTGTTTAGCTGGCTTGCTTTATCTAAACTATTTTCTACCCAAAAAACCCCAATACACACTTGTGCTGATTTAAACAAATGTTAATACCATTGGATTAGACTCTTGTAGTGCACTCACTTATCAATTTAAAATAGTTGGCTCTGTGAAGGAGTACATTTTTCCAAACAGTGGATAGTAACATTTTTTGTTCCTGGATCAGACACTAAACATGTTTTACACAGGTGCTTAGCATTGGGGTATTCCAGTTCCTGGCACCAAGAGGTAAATCTTCATTAATTACTTGTGTTCCCTTTGTAATTGCACATTCCACACCATGGAATGTGTTGAAGGTTATAATGGCATCTGTCAATTAGGAATACAACTGTGCAAATAGCTTGATTTCCAGAATCACCTTAATTGAAAAGCTTTTGCTGTAATAGAACCCCTTCCACCCAAACTATATATTTGTGCTCTCCACCATGAATCTTAACTCTTTATCCAGACTACTCCTGTGCCAGTCGAGCATTTTGAGCCTTGCTACCCCGACATTGTCACAGAAGTTGTCTGCCTCTTTGCATATCAGAGTATAGAGCAATACCTTGAATAACATGTCAGGTATAATACACCTTTTAAAGACAGCCTGTACATAAAGTTGGTCCATCTGCTGTTCTGATAGATGTAAATTTGCCTCTTTTAGTCCATTTATGTCAAGAACTAAAACTGTGAAGTTATCTCTCTCTAATATTAGTGGGTGTTAACTGACATAAAGGTTTATTTTCATGCTCTTTTTAAAAATGTCCTGAAAACAGACATAAGAATCCATTTAGGTTCAGGCGTCTCTTCTAGTTTCTGTCCCAAGTGTTCTAAATCTTATGGTGGTAGTGCCCTGGCATATCCATTGCCAGCAATGGACTTTGCTTTGGGTAAATTTCTCCCTCCATTGAGTAGTTCCAATATTTGCTGTTGATGAGCTTCTCTTCAGTAACTTGTCTTGTCCTCTTGCTTGCTCATCATGCTGCCATGCTATGACCAGAGCTTGTTCATATTTAAAAAAGCTGGGTCAGAACAGAAAAGTTCACTCAATGTTTATGGAGGGAAATGGACAGAATCACAATACAGATTGGCTTATGATTGTACTAATTCAAAGGATTGAGCATGAAAGTTCATCTTATAACCTGAATACCATTGATCCTGATAGAAAATATTAAGATTGATAGATAAATACAAGTGTTGGCCTCATGGAAAAGGGCATAAACTATTTTAAGGAAAATTAAACAAGGATGATAAGCCTTTTTTTGTGGATATGGTGTCTGCACCTGTTACTTTCAAAGAGAAGAGATTACTGTCATTTGACCCAATACCTTTTGCCCAATGACATTGATTTGTATATCCATGTCCCTTAATAAATGCAGTACATATGCTTAGGACTGACCCTTCCAAGCATTTTCTAACCTATTTTATTATTGATTATAGGGATAGCTTCAACCTCATTTAGCCTCAGTATCCCTCCCACATCTACATTTATTTACGCTTGGAAAAATTGCTAGTTGTAAAGTTAAAAGCTACCACTTTTGTGTGATATGATAACACACAATGCAGCCTGCATAATGCTCTACAAGAGCACTAATGGATGCACAGATTCCTGCTGATGTCTTATGATCCTGGTACACTGATCCGTACGCCAAGGCAGCTATGTTGGCTTCTGCAATAAAAACAGCAAAGTAACAGTCTTGATAGTGAAATAAAGAAAAGTTGGGGAAAGAAATGTTTTATTCTCACGAGCATTTATACAGACTATGGAGTTTAAGTACTTTACCTCTGGGTCTGAATCTGGATTTTATGATTGATGCCAATCAATTTTTCAAGCTTGAAACGAGGCTTTTAAGCAAGTTTCACATTGAAACTGATTACTGGGTCAACAGACTTCATAGAGCTTAAATTCTATAATAGCAAAGAATATATTAACTGCTTAATTACAGTTATTGATGCTGGACTTCTAGAATCAGCTAACTGTACATGAAGTGGTGTGCAGCATTATGTGGATGAGTGCTGGGAGAATGTCAAATAAAATAGCTGTTTTTAGACTCCCATTCTCAAATGATTTATAATACAGGCATCTAATTTGGTTGTGAGAAGATGCCATAAGGTACTTACCCGTGGGTACTACTTTTTCTCTGACATGCCCTACCAGAATCTTCTACCAAAGTTATTAACAGATGAAATATGCAGCTCTTGAAAAGGGAGAGATCTTCTTGGATGCCATAGCCAAATATGTTGTTTTCCCTGACTGTTAAGTCTAATGATAAACCATTGGACCCACAGGACTGAAGACCTTTGCATGTACTCCTGGCTGTGTTGCTGATAGTAGTTGTCGAGCAATAAGCTTCTGGGACCTGAAAATGAAGCAGATAGGGTAAAAAGCCGGTAGTATTTCCTTAGGGAGAAAAAATGTTGTTTCTGTTTTGCAGACCACTTTCATTAGAATGACTAATAAGAAAGTGGCCCTGTATAAAGCTAGGACAAAATTCAAATGTTGTATTGGCCATCTGCAAGGCTGCCTGAAGCCCATATGGCATGATGATTTAATTCTACTTTGTTCACAGGTGAACTTTCAGTTCCATTGTAAAGATTGCTGTTCCTTCAGAACAAATCTTTGTCATGGCTTAAAGCTATTTTCATTTTGCCTTCAGCAAGCTTTAAATTTTATATAGAATAAGAATAAAAGAGCAGTGATTTCTGTTCTTGTCACTAGTGAAGTAGTTGCAGTGCACACTGCTCTTATAAACAACTGGCCATCTGCTCAGAGTCCTGGGGACTATTAGAGCGCTTCCAGGGTAAGATGCATTGGCACTCAGAAGAGGCTTGCAGAATACCACACATCTGCACTACTTGGTTTAGCCTAAGGACACAAAAAAGCAGCGGTCGCACTTTGACTTGCTGTAGCCTCATAGGCCACGCTTCCACATGAGAAGTCAGTGCTCTCTATCAACATTCCCACTTGCTGCTGGCTGGAAATTCAGTGGAACCTGCAGGTGTTCAGCATCTATGACATGCATTTTAGACACTGAAGAATGAGAATTCTAGCTAAATTTGAGGTTTATAGTCTACCAGGGTTTCAGGCAGCAAGGTCATTATATGACAGCTTCTATTCAAAGATCAAAGTATTGTTTGCTGGCCGCTGTGCTTTTGAGCTGAAAAGAAACTAATGTGCTATGTGGCCCCACATGTACTTGTCTTTTAAATGTATTTAGCAGTGACTATAAATACTAAAGGTTTTTCATTTTTTTCAGCTCTGCTGCAAAACAGTGCTGGACATATACCTGTTACGCATGTGTGAACAGTTTAAAATGAAATAAGGCCATTCTTTATTGGATATAATGACATAAAACTACTTCTGTTTCTGAGAAAATTTGTCTGTGCACCAAATTGTGTAAACATTTGAAATAAGTTTGGCTGTTAGTGTTAGACAGGGCCACCATGCTGCTTAATAGTGCCAAGTGTGGGTGGCTTTACTCTTGCCAATGTTGGCACTCTCACTTTCATAAACACTGAATTTTCCCAGTGTTTAATGGTGGAGAGAGAATACAAGTGACATGGGATTGGTCATAGTCTATTGCAGTTGAGCTAAATTAACATGTGATCAGTATATTAAGCAGCCTTTAAGATGTGCACTTCAGAGAGTTCACATTGCCTGTTGTAATTTACTCTTTATACAGAACACAGAATAAAAATAAAGACTTGTCTGTTCTCGCTCTGATCACAAGGCAACAGTTGCCCGGTTTTTAAAGTCAAATTGATTAAATCCAAAATGAAATACTGGAATTACAAGATAAAATGGCAATGAGAAACTTGCATTGCTACATAGAAGATTAACTTTCTAACCATAGATATTTAAGACCGTTAAGGAGAAAAGAGGCTGAATTGTCCATTGCTGGTGGTGATATAAGAGAAACATGCAGTTTTTTTCTTTTTTTTTAATTTCCCCTTCAAGGTCCTTCCTCGTAATATCACCACAAGTCACCATCTTTTTGTTCTGTGTTTGTATATTAGAATGGGGTCCTGGTCCATGACCTGGTTTCCTAGGTGATAATACAAATCTGTTCCAGAGTTCAAATAGCTTTATGTTGTACTCAAGAAAAAATATGCTTCATCAGTAGCAGCACAAATGTGATGGT